ACCTCCAGGTAACTCAGAGCTACATCTCGAATACTTCGTCCAGCTCCCCGGCGGTGGGCCGCGTGCCCAGAATGCTGCAGGCATTTCCTCTCTGGATCGCAACACTGAGTCTCTGGAAGAGGAAGCTGGTCGCCCTGTGGTCCTTTGTTTCTATGATGAGCTTTTCACCCAGCTCTATTAGGAACTTTAGAGCACACTTGCCCCATGCTCCAAGGGTCTCTGACCCTATTGGGATGAAGTTATAGCAAGGGGGAAGGTCTTCATATTTGCGGGTTTTCTGAGTCTCCCTGTGGCTGGCAGCTCCACCCCCTTCCACTACGGAGTATGGCAAGTAGGTGTCTGCCAATGTGGCGGCACATGTGTAGTCCCAGGCAATCTGCTTTCCATCCTTCCAAGGTAGCATAGTGGCTCCATCAGGACGCTTTAGACTTCCGTCAGACCTCTGCACTTGGGGTTCCCGTTGAGCTGGGCAACGGGCTGTGGCGAGGCTTCTCTTTATGATATCACTGACCTCCTCATGCCTGGCATACTTCCCTTCTGCTGTGTGACACACGAGACCATGAAGTCCGAATTGATCAGCTGTCGCCCTGCCGCAAATACACCTATGTTCGGTGAGGATGGGGGCGGCTAGGCGAAGAGCAACACCAATCCGAATGGCCTGTGGGTCTAGTCGAGTGCCCAAGGAGGAATTGGAAACAGCAAACAGGAAATCTCCTGAGTGTGGTGCCTTCACTGCCAGGAGACGCTTTGTCCTTTCCTGAGGCGTTGGAGAGCATTGTGTTGGCGATTTTTTCCATGATTGGTTTGTCCCAGTGGGACTGTTTGTGTTCTTTGGGAGGAGCTGGTCTACTGGAGGAATCTGTAAGGGTGTCCCACCGAATCGCTGTTTCAGTAAACCTTGCGTCTTGAGCTCCTACCGTGTCTCTCAAGCGTTCGGGAACAATCTTCTTGACTAAAGCACTGGAAGCCAAACATGAAGAGAGAAAAGCAGGTAAAGCAACATGCGTTGCTTTGCGCACCCCTATACCTCCCAGTCGTACTGGGAGGGTTGCCTGATCCCTTTGCTGATCCTCTAGTGACAGGTTCAGTGCCTTCTTAAGGGTTAACCTCAGGTGTGCGTCATATTCGTCAAGTGTTGGGTTGTCAAAAGAGGGTGCACACCTGAGGAAGTGAGTGAGTCTTGGAATAGTAAGGCACCTTGTGAGGAGATACAGAGCATCATGGGCATCAAGATTGCTTATTCTCTCCATTCTCATCAGGTCATTTAATTTGTCCTTGAGGACTGTGTCGATGGCCTGGTGACCCAGCGGTGCTCCCAAGAGGGTACTGTTGGACGGAGTGGTAGTAGAGACTTCTGGGAGGATTCTTCGCACAGCATTGATTATTTCCTGGTTTGCTGTGATGATTTCACACTTGGAGGGATTGAGGATGAGTCCCAAGTCTTCTCCCTGTGTTTTCACCAGTTGTAGGTCCCCTACCAGGGACTCTTCAGTACCTGCCAGAGTGCCATCATCCAGGTACCAGATATTGAGCTCGCTGCTTAGGCTGGAAGTTAGTTCTCTTACTGCCAAGCAGAAGAGAAGTGGAGCTAGTGGGTCACCCTGCTGAACACCTTCTGATGAGAGAATTTCATGTTCTCCAAACAAAAGAATTGAGGGTTTGCTGTAGCCGGCTGAAATGAAGGGAAAAAGACTGGGAAGCGATCCCGAACAGCTGGCAAGACAGCATCTCTCTTTACCATATTAAAGGCATTTCTAAAGGAAAAAAGACATGTTGTACAGCGGGGAAAAAAAACCCAGAATAGAGCAACATAACGTACATGTCTTAGAAAGATACCTAAAACTGAGGTATAATCTCTGTGTTGAAAATGGTATAAAATACCGACAAGTTGATGATTAGGATAGATGTGCAACAGTTGGGTATCTTTATTGTTGAAACGTTTCGCCTACACGGTAGGTTTCTTCAGTTAAATATAGAGGCAGCAGGTGTAGTAGTGAAATGTAAGATGATGTAATCAGTCCATCAACCTTGGAGAAATGGTATTTGAGGTAGTCAGTCCCTCAGCCTGAAGAAAAGTTCAGCTCCGTGGAGATGAACTCTTCTTGACATGTCTTCATGTCAAGCAGTTGACGGCTTGACAAAGCTCCTGGAGAACGAAATGTTGCCACAGTAAAATGTCGCATTAGCTGAACTTGTGTCCTTTTACCTAACAAGATCTATATTATTTACATATAGAGTAGTATATAGGTGTCCTGGTTATTTTATTTTTCAAGAAGTAAAAGCTTACATTTATCCACATTAAAATGCATCTGCCACTTTTCTAACCGCAACATCAACCTGTACAAATAAGAACATAAGAAAGGAGGAACACTGCAACAGGCCTGTTGGCTCATACTAGGCAGGTCCTTTACAATTCATCCCACTAACAAAACATTTGCCCAACCCAATTTTCAATGCTACCCAAGAAATAAGCTCTGATGTGCAAGTCCCACTCAAATCCAACCCCTCCCACTCATCCTGGCATTTACACACCTTGTGGAGGTTACTTTAAGTAGACGACACATGAAGGTCAAATGAAACTGGAATGTCAGTACGCCTGCAGCCGGGGCCGCAGAATAATGTTGTTCAACATAGATCAGGACACAAGCACATCGTTAAGTGGAATGAGACCAAACTGGTAAATTATGAAATTTATGTAGACAAAAGTGCTTGTGAGTGATCATGACAGCAGTCATGATCGTGAGCAGATATAATATGGTATATAATAAACTATGACCTGTTCAACTACCTCTCAACATACATAAAGGGGGATTACCAATAGACCCGCTGTCTTCAAGAAGGCGCTGGACAGGCACCACAAGTCAGTTCCTGACCAGCCGGGCTGTTTATGTTGGTTTACGTGCGGCCAGCAGTAATAGCCTGGTTGATCAAGCCCTGATCCACCATGATACCTGATCATGGACTGGGCTGTGGGGGCGTTGACCCCCGAAATCCCCCTCCAGTTACACTCACCCTTGGTATAAACCTTGGTAATAAATACCGACAAGTTGGTATTTATTACAGAGGTTGTTTTGATAAGGACCTGCCTCGCATGGGCCAGTAGGCCTTCTACAGTGTTCCTCCATTCTTATGTTCTTATGACATTCCTCAGGTCACGTGCATCACATCTCACTCTCCGCCTATATATATAATGTCTTTCTACCTCTGTATGTTAGAAGTGATCAAGGTCCCAGGACCGAAACGTTTTCTAATAAATATGTTATAGTGTTTGCTTACGTGTCTTTCTAAACCATCACAGAGGAGCACAACAGTAGACCTACTGACCAACTCTGGCCATTCTTCTCCATCTCACAGGTTTGCCCTATCTAACTTTAAAGCTACTGCCTCGAACATCAACTGATTAATTTTTAAAGGGATGGACTGGTAAGCCAGTGTCAGGCCTCTGTCCAACGCTCCAGTGGTGGGCGATCATATGACTAAGAACCTCGTCAACAGGCATTTGTCTTATTTCCTGACAAATCTTACATAGAGCAGTCTACTTCCTCCAGTTATATTACCCCACTTTACCCAAGTGTCCACATGACTCCTTATACTATATACACTATTTGTTGTAGCTACTCTATAATACAACTGACAGAACTACTCGTATACTTGGAGTATACCTGGAGTGGGCTGCGGGGGTCAACGCCCCAGTGGTCTGGTCTGAGACCAGGCCTCGTGGGCAAAGCAATTCCTTATCTATTAATCTGTGCATACGTCGGTGACCTCCCTGACCGGCCTGACAACACTGGAGGACAGGAGGGTCAGGGGAGACATGATAACGGCATATAAAATACTGCGAGGAATAGATAAGGTGGACAGAGACAGGATGTTCCAGAGGTGGGACACAGAAACAAGGGGTCACAACTGGAAGTTGAATACTCAGATGAGTCAAAGGGATGTTAGGAAGTATTTCTTCAGTCACAGAGTTGTCAGGAAGTGGAATAGTCTGGCAAGCGATGTAGTAGAGGCAGGAACTATACATAAATTTAAGACGAGATATGATAAAGCTCATGGAGCAGGGAGAGAAAGGACCTAGTAGCGACCAGTGAAGAGGCGGGGCCAGGAGCCGAGTCTCGACCCCTGCAACCACAATTGAGTACAATTAGGTGAGTACACAGCCACACAGTCGACTTCGCATATTAAATTAAAAAAAAAAACAAATTTCGAAAGGTTTTTCTCCACGTTACACTGATTCAGATTTTGTCCTGAGGGAGGAAATTCTGGAGGACTGTCACTCATCCTGAGAGCTCTTACACATTACGTACCAATCTGTAGACAGCTCTCTTGTACCCTTCTAACAGTCTCAACGTCACGGTTATATCATTATATTAAAAACAACTTTTAACGAAGAATAAATCACAATACCGTGGCTGGAAGAATTCATGAATAACCCGCAATTCCTTGGCAGGAACAATTCCCAAATAACCCACACATAGCACCGAAAGCTAGGAGAGGAAACTCATGACGACGTTTCGGTCCGTTCTGGACCACTGTTACGTCACTATCTCGTACATCTAAACACTTATGGGACAGAGGCTGTAGCAATGTACAGTACCAGGTGGTATGCCGGTGGGAGGGGAAATAGGTACGGGGAGGGTAGGTGGGGGTACAAGACTACTGTCTGGCGCCCACAACGGTCGTTATATCCATAATTACGACTAATGTTGCAATTATAACCCTGCCTTCCCCTGCACCGGAGGCTGCTCACATACATACAACTCTGCATATCACTATCAATGACAGCCTTCAATGTATGTTCTTGCACAGATGGGGCATGCTAGCAGATACAAGCCTCTGCTACACACAATGTGTTGGTACGTGAGCGTCCGTGGCACGCACCACAGCCCATAGGGACTCCATACACAATGATTTTCATCCAATGGGAGGGAAACTTGGTGTTGGAGTGGAGATAAGGGTAGTTAGAGCATTGCTGTGGGTGGAGTGTGGGAGACACACACGTGTACACTACAGGGTACCACACGCGACACTGAGCTCTCTGACTCACTCACCACCACCACCCGCACACTACACACACACACACACACACACACACACACACACACACACACTATACACACACACACTATACACACACACACACTATACACACACACACACTATACACACACACACACTATACACACACACACACTATACACACACACACACTATACACACACACACACTATACACACACACACACTATACACACACACTATACACACACACACACTACACACACACACACTAACACGACACACACACTAACACGACACACACACTAACACGACACACACTAACACGACACACACTAACACGACACACACTAACACGACACACACACTATACACTCCCCCCCCCCCACACACACGGGTCACAACTAGAAGTTGAAGACTCCAATGAACCACAGGGATGTTAGGAGGTATTTCTTCAGCTTGGAGAAACAAGGAAGACCGCAGACGGAGTACAGGCTCGGGGGTCAAAGGCTGCAAACGTCACTCAAGGAAAAGGAACTTGAGGTGAGCATCATACCGAGCACATCCCCCGAGATACACATCAACCAAATAACTGCTGCAGCATACGGGCGCCTGGTAAACCTGAAAATAGTGTTTCGACATCTAAGTAATTGCCATTCACGACAAAGTACACCGTGTACGTCAGGCCCATATTGGAGTATGCAGCACCAGCATGGAACCCACACCTGGTCAAACACCTCAAGAATTAGAGAAAGTACAAAATTTGCAGACATAATAGTTCTGAAGCGGTATGTCCAATGAGAGGAGAGGAGCTTAAGGGAGCTCAACTTGACGATACTGGAGGATAGGAGAGATGGGGGACATGATACTTCAGCAGCACCAACCCAACAACACAGGAGTCACATGATTTCATCGTCTACCCGTCCTCATCATAGGTAGAGGTTGTTTTGATAAGGACCTGCCTCGCATGGGCCAGTAGGCCTTCTGCAGTGTTCCTCCATTCTTATGTTCTTATGATAACGACGTATTAAATACTGAGAGGAAGTGACAAGGTGGACAGAGCCAGAATGTTTCAGATATGGGATATAAGAACAAGGGGACAAATGGAAGTTGAATGTTCAGACGAGTCATAGGGGTGTTAGGCAGTATTTCTTCAGTCACAGAATTGTCAGGAAGTCAAACAATCTGGAGAGTGAGGTAGTGGAGGCAGGATCCATACATAGCCTTAAGAAGAGGTACGATAAGGCTCTTGGAGCCAGGAGTGTGTGTGGACCTAGTAGCAACTAGCAGAGAGGCAGGGCCAGGAACTGTGACTCGACCCTTGCAACCACATATAGGTGAGTACAAGCATGCGCGCGAGCGCGCGCGCACACACACATACACAAAAAAGATTGAAATCATCATCAAAGAAAGGCTAGGAGGACATGACTGAGATAATAAATTTTCAGAGAATAAGTGTACTCGAAGGGGAGAAACTGGCCGGTCACACTGATTTTCAAGACAGAAACAGTGCATAACAAGATCCTGTAAGATAAACCACAGCTGAAGTAAAGTAAACAGAACGACAGCAGCTGAGGGATCTTAGTCCCATGCTATTTAATATTCTGATTAATGCTCTCCTAAATGCTCTACCTGCCTCACCTAAACATATAGCTATAAGCTATGCTGATGATATCATGATCCATACAACAGGGCATAAGATGAATACCATTCTTAATGAAGTTCAAGCAATTTGTAATCGACTAGGCCTCATAATATCTTCCTCTAAAACATAGATACTAACAAGCAAACGACATCCCCCACCCATCTATTTGCAGGGTGAAATCATTAGCTACGTTAATTAAAACTTACAGATATCTTGGTGTAGATGTACCCTTTAACAAATCCACTATACCACAACTAAACAAGAAATGTAAAGCTAGGCTAAATGCTCTCAAAGCTGTTGCTGGCTACAATCCCAACTATGGTGCTAATGTGAGAATCGTGAGAATGATGTACATAGCCTATGTTAGGTCCTTAATTGATTATGCTGCTCCCATGTTGATATTAGCTAGAGAAGGTTCCCTCCGACCCTTGGAGTTAATGCAAAATGAAGCTCTCAGGATTATTCTTGGCTGTCCCAGATCTACAAAAGTTCTTAACATGAGGAAGGAGCTTGGTATTTCTAGTATCAGTGATAGGATTGTTGAAATTAACACTGTACTCGGTATTAGAATGTTGAGAAACGAACCAGACACTGTCACAGTGAATCTTACCAAGTGTCTAGAGGTAAATACACACAGATCTAAATGGATTGTGAAAACGTGCAATTGCATTAAGTTTTATAACCTGCATGAACTGTATCACTGTAGGCAACAAGAGCATTTCACCCCTCCATGGAAATGTGTTCATTTAATATCACATACCTACAAGTCCCTCCCAAGAAGCTCATTGCTAGTAATCCCTTCCTTTAATCTCTTGTTAGAGCAACTGCTCAAGAAGAAATTTTTCGCCTAGCTGGTAGTAATAAGTTATCACAAGTTATATACACTGATGGATCTAAACAGGAGTCTTCTGGCAGGGCTGCATCTGCTCTTGTTGCCACCTCCCTAGTTAAGAACGATAATAAATTTGTTGAGTTAGGCATAAGAATTAACAACTGGGCGTCTACACTGCAAATTGAATTGTTTGCAATCCTAATGGCGCTAAAGCTAACCTATGACACTGAGCTTGACTATCATCATTACTGATTCTATGTCATCATTGAAGGCTCTTGGCTCATATAATGACTCCAACAACATGCTCATTGGGGAAGCCAGGTATAGATACTCAAAAATTAGGGACAAAGGAATTAATGTACAATTGCTATGGATCCCATCACACACTGGATTACTCCTTCATGATAAAGTTGATATGTTAGCCAAGAAGAGTATCCAGAAGGAGAACGTAGAATATAACTTTGGTATAACTGTGTCTAGCATTAGGAATAATATTAGGAGAGAAGTAAATAATGAAAATGATTGTTATAGGAATGCAGTTAGAAGCCTGAGTAGATCTATAACCCACTATGATAACATGAACGTAGATAAGTATGTTTATGGAGCAACTTGCAATGTGAACAGACTGACTGATGTTGTAGTAGCCAGGCTTAGGCTTGGTTACAAGTACTTCTGGCAGTTTGGGAGACACACAGATGATGATCAAACTAAATGTAAATTATGTGATCAGGCATATGGTCACTCTCTTGAACACTATGTGCTTAATTGTCCACTTATTGAGGAATACAGAGACAGACAGTATAATAACCTATGTGACATGTCAAGATATCTTATTAATGAAAATAAGATACCAGATATACTAAGCAAATTTCCTAAATTTGCTTGTAACAGATAAGTGAACTATAGATATGTAGATATAAATCCATATGTATTCCTGTTAACCCTTTGGGACCTAGTTCCTAGGCCTTTTGTGTATCCATATGCTCTCGCGCTACCGTCCACAGGATGGATATGGGGTGCACAATAAACTAGCCACTTCGGTGGCAAAATCTAATCTAAATCTGAGGGATAGGACACAGAAACGAAAGAGGCTAGAGAGACAAGGGTACTCAGCAGAGGACAACCAGAGCCTGGCAGAGCAACAAGTGCAAACACACACACAACCACCCTACGAACCCTACAGTCAAACACAGTCCCAATACAAACCACAATCCATACTCACAGCCCCCTACCCCACACTATGCAGTAGAATCCCACAGCACCCTGCCAAGTCCCCCACTCCCCCAACCTCCACAACCCCCCCCCAGAACACAATGTTGGAGAGGAAACTGACGGTATGGTATGCCAATGCTGATGGAATAACAAATAAATGGGAGTGGCATGAAATAATCAAAGGGGCATCACCGGACATCATAGCTCTCACAGAAACCAAGTTCACAGGAATGATAACAGATGCCATCTTTCCAACTGGATACCAGACCCTGAGGAAATACACAGCGAACAGAGGGGGTGGAGGAGTGGCACTGCTCATCAAAAACCAATGGGATTTTGAGGAACTGGAGAGAGAAGACAGGAGAAGCAAGAGACCACATAATAGGAACACTTCAGTCTGAAGGTCTGGTAATTGCAGTGATGTATAACCCACCACAGAATAGCAGGAGGCCAAGGCAAGAATATGATAAGAGTAACAGAGTGGTGGCTGACACACTGGCTGAAGTGGCCAGAAGGGCTCATGTGAGCAGGGCAAAGCTACTGACTGTGGGTGACTTCAATCACAAAGAAATTGACTGGGAAAACCTGGAGCCACATGGAGGCCCAGAAACGTGGAGGGCTAAGATGATGGAGGTGGTACTGGAAAACCTCATGTACCAACACGTAAGGGACACTACCAGAGAGAGAGAGAGAGAGAGAGAGAGAGAGAGAGAGAGAGGAGAGAGAGAGAGAGAGAGAGAGAGAGAGAGGAGAGAAGAGAGAGAGAGAGAGAGAGAGAGAGAGAGAGAGAGAGAGAGAGAGAGAGAGAGAGAGAGAGAGAGAGAGAGAGAGAGAGAGAGAGAGAGAGAGAGAGAGAGAGAGAGAGAGAGAGAGAGAGAGAGAGAGAGAGAGAGAGAGAGAGAGAGAGAGAGAGAGAGAGAGAGAGAGAGATGAACCAAGAAGACTGGACCTAGTATTCACTTTGAGTAGTGCAGATATTGCGGATATCACATATGAAAGACTCCTCGGGGCCAGTGGCCATGTGGTTCTGAGCTTTGAATACATAGAATTACAAGTGGAGAGGGAAAGACGAAGGGCAGGACAAATGAAACCAAACTGCAAGAGAGGGGACTACGCAAGCATGAGGAATTTCCTGCACGAGGTTCAGTGGGACAGAGAACTGGCAGGGAAGCCAGTTAATGAGATGATGGCATATGTGACAATAATATGCAAGGAAGCAAAGGAGAGGTTTGTATCCAAGGGTAACAGAAATAACGAGAATGCCAGGACGAGCCCTTGGTTCACCCAAAGGTGCAGGGACGCCAAAACAAAGTGTGCTA